TTTCAACCCCTCCAACTTGTACAGATCATTTACAACATGTTGTCTTGTAGATGTCACTGTTGCATTGGTGTCCTTTGTCTCGGTATTCTGTTGTTCCTCTTCTCTTCCCTAATTCAAATAAACGTATACACAATACCAGGATACCAAAATCAAGTACAGTGACAACAGAAGGTATACCATAGTGGGAAAAACATACAAAAGAAATTTTTAAAAAATTTTTAAAAAATAACAACAACAAAGAAAAATATCTTGTATCCATGTCTTAGAGTTCATTTTGCTTAGCATCATCTTATACATAGCTATGTTTATCGCAGCATTATTCACCATAGCTAAGATATGGAACCAACCCAGATGCTCCCCAGTAGATGAATGGGTCAATAAAATGAGGTGTGTATATATATATATATATATATATATATATATAGTATATACACACATACAATGGAATTCTATGCCTCCTCAGAAAGAATGACACCACCCCATTTGTTAGGAAATTGAAAGACTTGGAAAAAATCATATTAAGTGAAGTAAGCCAGCCCCAAAGAAATACAGGTCCTATATTTTCCCTCATTTTCAATAATTAGTATATGTCTAGGATAATCTTATCAGATGAGCAGAATAGCTCAGTAGCTATGTACATATGACCGTATGCTTTTCTTACTTGACTATCACTCATTCATAAGGCTCGGGTGCCAGATGCTGTCCACAAAGGCTAACATGAACTTCTTTTATTCTTAAGATATTCTTGTATGATAGATACTAACGTGATGTCTATTGTGGCAGTGATGAAACTGATGTCCAAAGGGAGTTAGTTTATTCAAGACAACATAGCAAATAACAGGTGGATCTGTGACATAAACACCCATGCAACCTACATTCAGAATCTTTCTGCTCTGCTGCTTTGTAGTGCATGGCACTACATGCAGGGCCTTCTGCATGATAACTGAATGAAGGATGGGGCTTAGAAACTGGCAGTGAGTGCTGATTTCATAAGCTTTGATTAGAGTCAGTTGGAGTTAGTGCAAAGAGGTAGTGTGTGTGATTGTGTGTGTGTACATGCATGCATATGTGCATGTGTGTGTGCATGTGTGTGTGTGTGTGTGTGTGTGTGTGTGTGCCAATACTGGGGCTTTTACTCAGGGCTTCACACTCTTGTTTGGCTTTTTCACTCAAGATTGGTGCACTACCATTTGAACCATACCTCTACTTTTGGCTTTTTGCCGGTTGGGGATAATGAATTTTAAAGATTTTTTTGCCTTGCTGAACCATGATCCTCAGATATCAGGATTGCAAGTGTGAGCCACTGGTAGCCAGCCAAAGAGATAATTTTCTAGAGAATCCATTTTAATGTCTACTATAATACTACATGCTTTTAGTATACTGTAGTTTGTCATAGACTGTTTTGAGGTCAGTAAACTCTCTAAATGTGGGAGAACATAGGTGAAATGATTGGAAGAAAAGATGCCCCTCAGTTGATGAATGGATCAAGAAAATGTGGCATAGATACACAATAAGAATGACACTGCCCCATTTGTTAGAAAATGGAAAGACTTGGAAAAAATTATATTAAGTGAAGTAAGCCAGGCCCAAAGAAACAGGGGTCCCATGCTTTCCCTGATTTGAAATAACTCGTATATGTCTGACACAAGCAGAAATGGTCAGATAGGTTGATGTTAGGTGAAATGAACCACAAGATAAGGATTCGAATGTTTTTTTCTTTCATGCGATTGTTTCTAACATATTTATCAGATTATTTCTTTGTTGCTGTGTATGTCCCTCCCCCCACAGTATAACCCCTGCTTTCACTGTATTTGATGTTGGTATAATTTGTGGAGGGGAAGGCAAAAAACAAATC